CATACGCTTAATGGAGAGTACGCTCAATGCCCTCATTGTCCCAAAGTATTCTTCGACACCTCTTTTCTCAAAACCCATTTCGCGCGAAGACATCCAAACGAATCGCTCGATTCGGAGGGAATGTTGTCGTTGACGAAAAAAATTGAAAAATACCAAACGGCTGTTATGGGAGACACTAAATACTTGGATCAAATGAAGGCTGAATTACAAGTTTTAACACAAAAGTTGACTAAAACTGAAGTGAATTTACAGGAAGAGAAGGACGAGAGAATCAAATTAGAGGAACGCATTGAATACATGCTAAAAGTGAGGGATAAAGAGATGCAACAAATCATGAGAGAAGAGTTGGAAGAATTCAAATTTGTTCAAAGAGAACAAGACATTCAAACCAATTATTTAAAGACACCTAAAGAGGAGTTAAACGATGAAAGCCTTTTTAAAAGTGTCAACAGAATTGAGAAATCACAGGAAGTGAACAAAATTGAAGAAATGATAACAATTCAGGCAAAAGAAATGATTAAATTAGGAGATAATGTCCAAAAACTTGTATCTCATTTAACGGACACTTCTAAAGGGTCTTCAGAAACACAAACTATAAAACCATTGGTCAGAGAATTGCGATCATTTGCGAAGAATATTACAAATAAAAGTAATTCTGAAATCAGAGAAGAAGTTAGTAATGAAGTAAAGAAAACAATTGACGAAAAAGTGATTGTAAACCACAATCTAAAGCGAGACATAAAAGAGAAAAGCGTCGAAATAAATGAACACAAGAATAGACCAAAAGAGCCGAAAGATTTTGTGGACGAAGTGTACGAAAATTTAAACGAAAAATTAAATTCATTGGCGATTGACATCAATAGCACCGGTATTACTGAAGAACAATATTCTGTTGCTATGAAGAAATTGAGTGAAGAGCGAACTCTTTTGATCCAACAAAACAGATTTGACTATAACTTTGAGGTCATTGAAGAGCACATTAAGAATTTTGTGGACAAAAAAGTTAATGAAAAGAGCGCTGGAAATGTGACTCAAACTGAATTATCGGTTCCCGTCGTTAGGGAGAGAAAGACATCACCGGAGAAAAGGACACACATTGAGATACAAAAGCAAAAAAGTCCTGAAAAGCATTCAATCGAAGCTGTGGTTCACGTTTTGCCAACAATTGACGCTAACAACACATCCAGGGCTCAGATGTCTCAAGAGGTAGAAGTAATTGAACTGAAAACAGAACCGACGGAACAGCCAATCAATGCCACAGATAGTGAGCTAAAGAGTACGAAACCATTGAAATCAATTATAAGTGACAAGAAATCTCCTAAAAGTAATGATCTGAAGCCCGAGAGAAGGATTCGGTTTAACGAACAACGAATGGAACATCAAATAAGTCCCGAAGAATCGAGTGAAGACACCAGTAGTGAAGAATACGGTCCTATGATATCAGACACGAGTACTTATAAGTCATTTGACGCAAACCAGGCTTCGGTGGCTCCCATTCCCGCTCGAAGGACACAAAAAACTGATCTCAAACTTGACTTAAAATCTGAGGCTAAAAAACAATTGGATGACGACTCGAGTGAAGACAACAATTATGAGATCGACGACCAACTAATGGAGGAAATTCTCAGCACAAGTACACCCATCGATGGTAACAAATCAAGTGGTGAACAGCCATCGAGAAGTAGCGGTGGATCCCAACCGACTAAAGTCCAAGAGTTGGCGGAAATGATACAAAAACAGCTCAACAAAAGAAGCGAAATAAATAAGAAGCCACCGATTGGTTCCGTTAATGTCATGTCTTCGGACAAAACCCACACAAAGACATCTGCGGTTCCCTTCAGACCAGATTACGACTCCGATGACAGCGATTAAAGGGACAACTCGTGAGTCAAGAAATTAAATCAATTTTTATTGAATTAGTTGTCAAAAATAGTCAAATGGTATTCATTAACAAAGTGTTCATTAAATAGTAATTAAAGCAAAAAAATGAAAGTGAAATCAACTGAAATCTAATGAGAAAATTAGTCTTCTTTTTCAAACATGTAATAAATGAGAAGTTAATCATAAGTTAATCCTTAGCATAAATCCATTCGTTCTCCTTATGAATGGCCGCCTCTTCTTCGGGAGTGAAATCGTTATGGATTTTTAACATTTCCCTGACTTCGGTGCAGGTCTTGCCCTTAATCTTAGCGCAGATGTGTTTAGCGCCGACTTCCACCAAACCCTTGATATCCATATAATTGGCGGCGGCTATGATGTCGAAGAGGTCGCCCTGATCTGGGATATCGATGAACTGTTTGTCCCAATGCGAGAGCTCTTCGTTGCGGCGCTCCTTCTCGTCGTCGAAGTCGGGATCGAGTGGCGGATCGTCCCAATGATGTTCGCACCACTCAATGATCTTCTTGAGCGCGCCGTCAGTCACCGCGTCGTTCTGTAGAGGAATCGGATCACGAGTGCTGATCGACTCGAGATCGGCCGACGGCAACGCCTCCAACATATTGGCCACCAATACAGACATCTTGGCTGCGGTCAGACCGCACTCAAAGACGCCGCCATCGAAGCTCTTCAGTTTGATCTTAATCTTGTTCTCCTCCTCACGACGTCTTTCCTCCTCCTCTTCGCGGTCGAAGTCGGAGACGTCGTTATTGTTGTTCGCGGGATCTCCTGAAGCCATCACTGAAGACAAAGTTAACAGCAAATGATCAGAACTTTCATCGCAAAAATACAAAATGAAAGACAAAAATGTATTGCAAGACAAGAGACGCAACGTTTGCAACGAAAGAGTGAAACACTGAATGAACGCCTCTATAGAGAAAGCAATGGCTCTTAAGTACTGTTTTTGCCTTCACTTTGCGCTCGACTCGACTCAACGCCACTGCACTCAACGTTATTCACACGACAGCAGCCCTGAGAGGGCATCTTCTCTGCGCTACAATGCATTGCAGGCATTGAATACAATATTACGTCTACACAACAGTCACACCAATAATGACTGAATCGCTAATCTCTATGCTATGACTTGTACTGATAACTAATGTCTATTTGTTTAATCAGTTTCATTGTCACTCCCATTGTTTAACTCTATTAGTTTTGCAGAGGGGGTAGAGAGGGATGGGGGCACTCATGTTGCCTATCCTATCATATGAGCGCATTTGTACGAATGTGATAAATAAGTACCATGGTGATTGTACGTGTTGTCATATTTGTCATATCAGGGCTTATATGACAGTATTTTACTGTCAAGTTGTGAAACTTTATTAGTTTTGTTAGTCATTAACACTTTAATTACAAATCAATTCAAAATATTTAGCAAACTATGCGTTGAATTGATTGTAATTTGATTTTATAACCAAATGATTACACAAATCAAAAGATTGCATCATTTTTTCCATTTAAACACAAAGCAACACATTTGGCGCATATAAACACATTTAAACATTAGACAAATTACACTATTTTGTAGTCATATTTAACATTTAGTTTGCATTTTAATTAACTATAATTGTAATGCAAATCATATTCACATTTAAATTGTAATCAATTGTTTAGTTTTTTGCACAATAATTAAAATATGAATTCACGAGACATTAGTTATCATTTATTTCATTCAAAAGTTTACATAAAATTCGGTTAAAAATTTGAGATAAAACTCGCGAAGAATGTACAGAAAGACTAACGATTCCGGCATTGAATCAGATGAAGACCACTATTATGAGGACAGGTTTCAAAGGGCTCACACAGAAGTAGCGGACAATTCAGACAATTCAAGTCAAGGCTATGAGTTTGATATATACCGGGCGCCGGAGTTATTCCTTACTCGGGATCCGCTCTCAAAACTCACTGACTTTTACAGAGAAAGTGATCCACACTTTACTGACAATTATGGCGACAAACCGATGGCAAGCGGACAACAAAAACTTCTTGAGATTAGTTACAGATATCCGATGCCAGTGATGGGGGGTAACTGTGCGGCCACTCCGGCGCCAGTATATCAGGACAAACGGTCTACAATTGTGACGGAATGGTCACAAAATTCCGGTTCTTTTGTCTCTGAAGACTCGAGTTTGAGTGCAGATTACCCTTCAAGTCAAGTGTCGACCATTTATTCAAGTTTTGATTCATTTCCGAGTTATCAAAGCAATGGAAAAAGTTCTTCGATTCCTTTGGAGTCTTATGGAAACGCTGACCAGTCATCGGCCAAACCTCTGACATCTTCGCTGTTCGATTGGTCTGATAGCGACTCTTCCATCTCAGGAGTGACGCCGACATCAATGAAAGCAGAATATACTCTAAGAGAGACTCAAACGCCGCTAATCAAGGATTTGACGGACGAGACACAGGAAGACACGAGTCCTCAATATTCAAATACAGGCGAAGATCTGACCATTTATGACACGCTTTCAAGTTTTGGCTCTGATTTTGACACAGGATTCACATCAGACACCGATTCCGAAGAAAGAGAATCAATGAAAGCGAGTCTAAGGAGTTCTCTTCAGTCCTCTTCTGATTCACCACTTTCTGACTCATTCATCACTTCGAAGAAGTTTAAGAAGTTGAGTATCGATTCTGTGGATCTGTTCAGTGATTACGATTCAGATTCAGATTTTGCGGAAATTTTCTCCGATTCTATGAATTCCGACGATTTGTGGTCACATTCTGACGAAGAATCCGATTCTGTTTCGACCACTTTCACAGAATCCAAATGCAGCGTCTTTTCCGTGGATTCTGCAAAGAAGTCACCAGAGGTTAGATCATCAGGAAGTAGTCTTCAAAAGACATCAATTCTCGCAAAGAAAGACACAAAAGAAAAGATAGAAATGAATGGATCGGAAGTGGAGGTAAAGGCGGAGAAGACCAGTGTTTCAAAGCGTCCATAGATTAAGACATGAATTCAACTTTTGTTTCAAGTTTTGTTCAAAAAATTATTCATTTTTGAAATATTCCAGTCATTGAAATAAAACTCATTATTTGGTTATTTCACGTCATGTTTCTTATGTTTGAATCATTTAACTCTTATTTCTCTAAAAAACATTCATAAAAATCATAAGAAAAAATAAATCACAATTAAATCATAAATGTTTGCATTTAATTCATTTATTGTTTGCATAAGTTTTTCCATGCATTTAACGCCAAATTCAATGTCTATTTTGTGCGTGAATTCAATTTATTATTGAATTTGAATTTAAATTCGCGTTTCGTTTGAAATTCAAACAAAAGTTGATTTAGAGTTCGATTGAGAAGTCGTTATCTTTATTACTCTTAATTTGAAATCTGATCTCATTTTCGGTAATTTTCGGTCAAAATGTCCACAAAAGACAACAAACATTCGGTTGATATGAGAGAAGTGATGAAAGGCATGTGCGGACACCCGGCAGTCGAGCGCCGGATCAAAGCCCTCAAGAAGTTGCAGTTCGAGAGACTCGAAGTCGAGGGACAGTTGACTCGAGAAGTGTTCGCTTTGAGCGACAAATTCGGCCAAAGATATCGTGAGTTGGACTCAAAGAGGCGACAAATCATTGCCGGAGAAGTGGAGCCGAGCGATAGCGACTGCGAAGGCCTGCCATTGGAGTCGATGCAAGTGTTGGCCAAAGAGTTGCCGCAAAACACTGACGTAAATGTGGCCGACATTCGCGGTATTCCCGGCTTTTGGCTCAAAACGATGCAATCGGTGGACGAAATCGACGATTGGATCGAAGCGACAGATGAAGAGGTTCTCTACCATCTGTCGGACATTCGCTACTCTTTGAGCCCAAATCGGCCACAAATTACACTTGAGTTTCATTTCAATGAAAACGACTACTTCTCGAACCAAGTGTTGACCAAAACCTATGCCATTGAGTTCGGACCCAATCCGGCCGATCCTTGGCATCAGAAGAAGTATTACCCGATTGAACGCAAGGGTTGTGCCATCGACTGGAAAGACGGCAAAAATGTCACAAAACAAGCGAAGAAAGACAAGAAGTCTTCGGGAAACTCTTTCTTCGACTTCTTTGACGACTCAAAGCTCAAGAATCCGTCAAAAGCTGATAAGAATGCCGAAGACATTGAGGACGACTTGGAAGACGACTGGTGTTTGGCTGAAGCGCTCGTTAAGAATATCATCCCAAACGCTGTCCTCTATTTCAACGGCGATGTCAGCGAAGACTGCAGTGATTCCAGTAGTGACTCGTCTGACGAATCGGAGAGCACTGGAAGCGAATCCGAAGATTAGTGGAGTGTTTGCCAAACGATTGCATGTTTTGTCAAACATTTTTCTATTTGTTTTCATTATTCTCTAAATTCTTATTTCTTTCTCAATATTTGTTTTATTTTTGAGTTTATTTTTTATTCATTTTGTGTTTCATTAAAAATATTCATTCGTTTTAATTAATAAAAAAATTCAAATCAATATTTTTGGGTTCATTTGAAACTTATTTTTTCGCTAACTTTTGCTGATTACTTTCAGTGTATAAATAAAAAGTGTATTTTCAAAATTAATAAAACAATAAACATTCATAGATGGAGACAATACCATACACATCCGGTGTAAGCTTTAATACAGGGAATGCTATCATATGGTGTNAGGGAATGCTATCATATGGTGTTTATATTGCTTTATTAATTTTGAAAATACACTTTTTATTGATACATTGAATGTTATAGCAATGAATGTGTGTTTCAGTCAAATAAGGCATTCATATATCGATATATGGGTTGACGTTATTTATTAAGGCATTTGTTTTCCCTTTAAAAGCGTTTTGTTGTTATTGTTTTGATTGTTATCTTCAGTTTCACTCATGAGTTCAGACGCCTTAAGACAAATCCAATCGCAATACGCGTCCGATTCGGACGACTCTCAAGACTCGGACAATAATGGAGAGGAAGTGCCCGGCATTGGACCCGAAGACCAGTCCTCCTCTTCCGACTGGAGTCTGTCCTCAGATGAAGAGCCAAATGAAGCCACGGATGACTCGAAACGTGTCGTCAAACCAATCATTGAAGACAAAGACAAGAGAAAAGACAAGAAAACTAAAAAATGGCCCAAAACTAAGGGAGAGTTGAGTCTCGAAGATCTGCCACCGATTGAGAAGTTGTCAATCAGTGTTGGCGTCGAAGAGCTCTCCCAATTGGGATCCGTCACGTCTATTGTGGACCAACTGGTGGTGATTCAGTCGTTTCGGTTAATGCCTGCACTCGACTTGGATTCGGTGCTGTTTCTGAAAGACGGCCAACCGTTGGGTCAAGTGTTTGACGTCTTTGGACCGGTTGTTGAGCCCCGATATGCCGTCCGATTCGATACCAATGAAGAGATAACCGCTCGACACATATCAGTGGGAACTCCGGTTTACTTCGCGACCGAACACCAGAAGCCGGTCACGAGTTTTGTATTCGCGGAACAGTTGAGACAAATGAAGGGATCGGACGCCTCGTGGAAGGACAACAACGAACCGCCCGATGAAGTGGTCGAGTACTCCGACGACGAGACCGAACGCAGAGACAAACAGAAACACAGAGCAAAGCGATCTCATCACGAGTCCAACGGAGCACTTGTGGTCAATCAGTATGGATATCAAGTGCCGCCAAACACACCAAACAATCCTTACTCTCAATCAATGGCTGACAATAGTTTTACTCCAAATACTCTTAACACTCATCTCTTGAATCATTCATACTTCCAATAGTAGAAACTATTTGTCTCCTTAATTAATGATATGTTAATTGTATTATAATATAACACAATATTTAACTTATTTTAATGCTCTCTTTTTTGTATTTTCTAATAACTTATGTAATTTTATATCCAAATAAATAACTACCAAATGTTTTAATTAAAATTTTGTTTTATTTTATTTGAGTTTACAAAAGAGTTATACAAGAAGTGTAGACAAGGAATATCTCATTTACTGTTAATTCAATTTATTTATTATAAATACATTTAGAAATGGGTTTTTATATTTAATGAATTGAATTTTAGTTGTTTTTGACATAACTTTTGTTTAAACGGAGAAAAACCAATTGATTTCATTTCATAGACTTTGCTTTTGAGGTCTTAGAGCTCACACTCGATGTCTTACTCGTGACCGGAGTGTCTCCAGATTTAGGCGGTGTTTCGCTTTTAATTGCGGACATATTTTTAGATAGAGTTTCACTCTCTGCCGGTGACTTCGCGGGTTTGCCTCCACTGTCGGCCCCACCACCAGCTCCACCATCAGCTCCACCACCAGCTCCACCATCGGCACCACCACCAGCGCCAGCGCCAGCATCAGCACTAGCCTCTGCTTCACCCTTACCGCCACAACAACAACATAACGCACCCATAGGTTTGGTCACACAGAAGATAATTATCGACAAACAAATTATTTGATCTATAAATCAAGATTTAAATCAATGTATAAATAAATCGGTTTATGATTTGAATTTGAATTTATACTTATTATTAAAAACTCGTGAAATTAAATATAATTTTTTTAGTTGTTTTATTTCTCATATTAACGGTAATTAAAGTAGACTTTTCTTATTAACATTGAAAACAATTTTTTGTTTGATTTAATTTTGAATTGAAGATGAATCCAAAGATTTTATATCTTATTTCGCTTACAATACAATCGTTTCATTTCATATTTGTCGCGACAATTGATTCAAAGCAAACAATTTGCGAAACAGAGAATAAATATATTGATTCAGTGGTTGAGTTCAATGATCACAGAATATTCTCAATCGATAACCAATTCTTTGAATACGATTTGAACTATAATTACATCCGAAGAGGAGCTCTATATTACGAGATCAAGCGCTCACAGAATATACTTTGTTTGAACAATAATTGTTTTAATATTGAAATATACATAAACCTAATACATCTCAATCTTTTCCAATCATTAGTTGGTCGATATATATCGGGATTTTTCATCAACGCTTCCACTGATTTGGCTGATTGTGGCGTCCATTTCCCGGCATATTCTCAGCACAATCTCCTAAATTGCAGTGTTTTAAGCGAAACATTGAGTGATAGGATGGTAATCATATTGGAGGACCGGTTCACTGCCACCAATTATGTCATGTCAAAAGTGCTTCGCAAGGAATTACTAAACGATGTTTCGATAGACTCAGCAAACGATAGACTCGGACCGTATAAGACCAGAGCTAAGGCGTCGCCCACGAGTTGGCTCTTGAATGGCGTTCAGGCGAACAAAAACTTCCGATTCCTGCCGACGCTATTCGTGCCGAAGAACTTCACGGTTTTGATTGTTATGAACAGAGAAAGCATTTTGATTGACGGCGTGATTAGGACTAATCGGGATAAAACTCTGTTTATTTATAAAAGCTTAGCCACGAGTTTGAATGCGAGCGCTGACGAGACCTGGCGTGTCGTGAAGTTGACGGCTTCTCAACAAACCGATTACACTTATACCGCATTCTTGAGACACAAACAGAACATATATCTAATCGGCGAACCCTATAGAGACGTCCATCAGGTGGAAAGGGGTCCTCAATATCTGTTTGAAGTGAATGCAGAAGATTTGGCAAATATTACTATTACTAAAACAGTCTGTTTTGTTAATTATTATAATTACCACTTCTAATGTGAATTTTTATTTTACGCTTATTTTTAGTCCAAAAATCCATTTGATTTATTTGACTGCAACTTTCATTCAGTGGATTTGTTGGCAATACTTGCCATTTCCTTTCTCATTGCTTTGATCTTCTTTGTGTTGGGTATTTGGATAGCTGTTGGCTATTATTTCTACCGTAAATAACAAATATTGTTATTACAGTTAAACATTATTTAAAACTACTTTTTCTCGTTTTTATCTTTAGAAAAAAGAGTGAAAAGCAATAAAACAAATACCAAATCTCAGCAAAGTATTACAACTCTTGCCAACGAATAAATCATATTTTCTTTTGTATTGTTTTAAATTTTAAATATTTTCTTTCAAAATATATTTGCAATAAAATAATAAGTTATTAATTCTCTCTCTCTCTCTCT